GGAGAGAATGAAATTGGACCACCATTCAACTAATAACATTTTCTCTCTTTTTATCTGAGGATACGAGCACATTGTCAATGCAATCATATTTCCACTGGGGAGCTGAATGTCGGATTGATTCCCAGATATGTTTGTTTTTCATACAGTAGCTGCAGTATAGCAGGATGGTGCTCAATTGTGTTTCAAATTTATTTCTCCTCAGGTGTCAAGCAGCATAAACACTGATGGAAAGTGCGTTGACTGATTCCTCATCATATAAATGTTTTTCTGCTTGACTTTTTGAAAAGGCAAACAAAATTGTATGCAGAGATATATTCTTTGAGTTTAGTTCTCTCATCTTCCTTTCAATGGGAAAATGATAAAAGAAGCCATTTCATCTACTTCTGATGTGCCAGATGTCTGTCAATTTCAGGATCCCAGCAATTATCGCTATTCTGTATTCAATGGACCATTTAGAACAGGTTTGTGTACAACAGTGTGCAAGTTCTTATTTTCTTATTCCTCAAAAATGGTCAGATTCGCAATTACGTGTCCGGCACAAATGTCTATTGTCTTGCTTAGAGAATGAAATCCTGAGGGTTTTCATCCATGTGATCTGACTGGAAATGGTCGCAGATGATAGCTTTCCACGGAGCAGCGGGGGAGGGGGGGATAACACTGCCAATCAACCAGCGGCCAGTCATTAATTTAGCCATCAGACTTGGCTGACTTAGACCAGAGAGCCTCAGCTGTGGAGGGGCACAAAGCACAAACCCCACAGTCCTCGCCTGAGCCCCTCAAGCCCCAAGAGCTGAGAACTAATCACTGGCTGTCCCCGTTAACAAAATTTCTGACAGCTCTCTTTGTGCAGGCGTCTCACTCCTGGGCTTAATGTGGAGGGGCACCCGGCCAATACGCCCCAAAAAGAAACAAAATCACAGAGCAAGCCTAATGACAGGGCACCGCAGTGTCATTACCCATGAGGCACAGCTTGATAAAATTACAGCAATCAGACCACTATGTGGTGATCCCACCTGTAATGGAGAAAAGGCAAGAAATAGAACAGATGCACAACATCCTCGAATTCTTCCCCGTGTTTATATTTGTGTTGTGCGTAGGGTGTGCAGCTAAACACTTGGGATGTATTGAGAATCGGGTTGGTGTAAGCTTGGTGTGAAAGCAAAGATGAGGACTGCTGTCACAGTCCAACCCTTCAATCCAGCAGGTGTTCAGCTTTCCCCCAGTTGCACTGTAGCACTGATGTCATACCATGATACTACATTACAGTGCAAGGCCAGAGGAACTGCAAGCAATAAGATTCTCTTACTCTGTTCCCACCCATCAAAAATAAAGGATCTAAGTACATTGACATGAGGTGGTTGTAGCCATCAGAGATAGAAATTTCCTTAAAATGTAGTGTAGTTGCGCAGTCTTTTTTTATATTTCACTCTACTTAATTATTTATCTTTACACTTTTTGTGTGACCAAGAGTATGGAAAGTTCATGGAGCTGCACTATATTAATGCTATCATCAATGCATAAATTGAGGCATGCTTTTAGAAACCCCAATTCTAATGAAGTTGGGACGTTGTGTAAAACATAAATAAAAACCGAATACAATGATTTGCAAATCCTTTTTGACCTATATTCAACTGAGTACACTACAAAGACAAGATATTTAATGTTTAAAATGATAAACCTTATGGTATTTTGGAAATATTCACTCACTTTGAATTTGATGCCTGCAACACATTCCAAAAAAGCTTGGACAGGGGCATGTTTACCACTGTGTTACATCGCCTTTCTTTTTAACAACACTCAATAAGCATTTAGGAACTGAGGACACTAATTGTAGAAGCTTTGTAGGTGGAATTTTTTCCCATTCTTGCTTGATGTACGACTTCAGTTGCTCAACAGTCTGGGGTCTCTATTGTCATATTTTGTGCTTCATAATGCGCCACACATTTTCAGTGGGAGACAGGTCTGGACAGTTCGGCACACGGACTCTTCTACTACGAAGCCACACTGTTGTAACACGTGCAGAATATGGCTTGGCATTGTCTTGCTGAAATAAGCAGGGATGTCCCTGAAAAAGACATACGTTGGATGGCAGCATATGTTGCTCAAAAACCTGTATGTACCTTTCAGCATTAATAGTGCCTTCACAGATGTGCAAGTTACCCATGCAATGGGCATTAACACATCCCCATACCATCACAGATGCTGGCTTTTGAACTTCGCGCTGATAACAATCTGGATGGTCCTTTTCCTCTTTAGCCCAGAGGACACAATGTCCATGATTTCCAAAAACAATTGCAAATGTGGACTCATCAGACCACAGCACACTTTTCCACTTTGCGTGAGTCCATCTCAGATGAGCTGGGGCCCAGAGAAGCTAGCGGCGTTTCTGGCTGCTGTTGACATATGGCTTTCGCTTTGCATGGTAGAGTTTTAACTTGCACTTGTAGATGTAGCGACAAACTGTGTTAACTGACAATGGTTTTACGAAGTGTTCCTGAGCCCACATGGTAATATCCTTTACAAAATGATGTTGGTTTTAATGCAGTGCCGCCTGAGGGACCAACGGTCACGGGCATTCAGTGTTGGTTTTCGGCCTTGCCACTTACGTGTAGAGATTTCTCTGGATTCTCTGAATGTTTTGATGATATTATGGACTGTAGATGATGACATCCCTAAATTCCTTGCAATTGACAGATCCCAAGCCCCGCCTCCCATTGTTACTGTTGCTAGGTCGGACAACTAACCAGGAAACTTCAGCCTTGCCTGAGTTCAAAACAACAAGCATAGCGGCACCGGTTCCGTTCACTGATGTGTTGCATGCGAGTCCGTGTTATTTTAGCATCGACATTTTGTCTCCCTAAATATGTGCTTTTTGGAGGATGAAAAGCAGCACACTTACTAATGGGAAGATCGAAATGTGACTCGGTGTCAACGTTTTGAGTGCGAGCAGAAAAGTTAAGTTAACGTGACCGAGGCTTTTAATGGCCCTCCAATAAGATATGTGCTTGGAAGTTTTCCCCGTTATAAGGAACGTCGATGAATGTCCGTGTACATTATCAAATTACTCTCTGGTCTCCTCACTTCATTGTACCTTGGTTGAGCATATTTGCTGTCAACCGCATTGTTCATATTGAATCATAAGGCTAATGCCAACGTTGTTAAAAGGAAGCGCTAGTTAACTCTGGCTACTCCTTTCCTCAGCTTCATCTTTGCCCCTGTCCCGTTAAAACACTGCTCCCAGAAATGACCACTGCACAGCAGGGATCGAGGGGACAGAGAAAACTTTTTTCTCCTGATTTCTAGCTAACAGCCAAGCCTTTCTCCCCTCCTTGTCTTTTTGAACTCTGTATAAACAGACAAAGCGACTTGTCCACCGTTTTAAATATTATGCAGGTAAGAAGCATTGTCGTTGAATGTCAGTTACAAGCAGCTAGCTTGTTAGCCACCTTGTTAATTTTATTAACTGCTCAGTTAATGCAGTCCCTGCGACGGTAAGGGTACCAAGGTAGCTTGCTGGTGACCGTTATCCATCGCTAGCGTTTGTTCTTCTTCATCTGAAATTCTGGCATCGTACAGTGCAATGCTGCCCTCCACAGTTCATTACAAGATACTATTCAATGAGGTCGTTGCAAGTTATGTAGGTGGTCACATGATCACTGCTGTTGCTTGCACCAATAATAATGCCATTCAGTCGTCTGGAAAATATGGCAAAATAAGTTTCCATCAATTTCCACAAAATAATGAAGCCCTTTTGAAAGATTGGCTTGTTAAATTAAGAAGAATTGACCGTGGAAAGCCTTACAAACCAACAAAACTTTCAGTTCTTTGCTCAGAGCACTTCAGAAAAGCTGCTTCACGTACCAGAAGTTCACAAGTAAGTCAATGGTTTTGTTGCAATGAAAACTGGTTTTAAAGCGAAGATTTAAAGAAATTAGTGGAAAATATATATTCAATACAAATATTAACCTTAAGCCTGAACGCCCCTGTAACGGGGGCAATGAATTTGCATAATAAATGTTTCCTAAAAGCAACCTCGTCATGCGGCATATCCTCTATAAGCGAAGAAACTCGGCGAAAAGTTTGTGATGACCGTTTTTACCTAAACCGAACACAATTCAAGTACCAAGCAAGTAAATAAGCATCTAGCAAAACAATAAATAAAATAAGATTAAATAATCAGTGCTCTATCGCAAGCATTGCTACTGAATTTGTGATACGCATACAAACGATACCTCAAAAAGACAGTCCACAGATTCCAACGATATAAGCCTTGTCATTTTAAATTGATACCACACTCAAAGAACAGCAGGCATACACTTTAAATGCTATAGAGGTGAGCAAAAATTTTTCTTACCTTTGATATTTTGTCATAAAAGCTGTTTGTGGGTAAATCTGCGCTTGCTATTGTTTTAGCCAGTCTATCTGGGAGTCCTCTCGCCATTATGCTATGCACTGGAAGACCTCAGCAGTATAATCACTTAAATGGTTTGTTGTTTTTTTTTGTATTTTCGCTATAATTAACCGCTCAATATTCAACTGTTGTTTTCAAAGCCGGTTTATGACTGAGAATCCTTGCGCCAATATACTCAAGTTCAAACACAGCACAGCTATACAAGCGCTAGATCGACCAGTGAATATATAGTGTGTTGAGCTAGTGTCGTGGATAAGGCGGAGCATTTGGACCTGAGGTTCAATATCCGGTTATAAATGCGACATTTCAGAGCAAGGAAATACATTTTTTCGGTATAAATAATAATTAATCGATGCATTCCCATCCCATCAAAGCCATCTTCCTGAGTTACTTCAGGGAGCACGTGACTTACACTACGGTTTCTGCATCCAGTGCAACACCTCCATTCTTCCCACCATTGGCTCTCACACTCATACCTATGGGCAATTTAGAGTCTCCAATTAACCTAACATGCATGTCTTTGGACTGTGGGAGGAAACCGGAGTACCTGGAGAGAACCCAAACCACGGGGAGAACATGCAAACACAGAAGGTCCCCAGGCCGGACTCGAACCCACAACCTTCTTGCTGTGAGGCAACAGTGCTAACCACTATGCCACCGTGCCGCCCACTAATGCTTGTTGTTAGTCAGCGGTCTATTCACGTCAATGGGATGGCTAATTAGCTAGCTAGCATGAAACATTTTAGTACAGCCATTCAAATGAAAATCGCTGCAAAAGGCATGAGAATACAACTGCGTAGGTTTGTTTGATAGAAGTGCCTTCTGTAATATTCTTGTCGTAAATTGTAATTATCTTGTGAGATTTATCACCAATGAAAAAGACACTAATTTCACAACTGTTTCAGATCTTTTTTTAAATTAGTTTAGGAATACATTAAAAAGCTTATTATGGTTTTGGAAATGGAGTAAAAAACACGCCTTTAACACGGTCGGCATATCGAGTGTCTGTTACATGTCACATCGTTTTACCATCGTCAGAAACACAAAATGCCTGGTTTGATGGCTGCCTGAGGTGACAGTTGTCCGAGGTTGGGTCAGACCCCTGCTTGCCCCATTGTGACGTAGCCGAAAGTGGGCGGGGCTTGGGATCGGTCAATTGCAGGTTGAGAAACGTAGTTCTTAAACTGTTGGACTATTTGCTCACGCAGTTGTCCACAAATTGGTGAACTTTGCCCCATCCTTGGTTGTGAAGGACTGAGCCTTTTGGGGATGCTCCTTTTATACCTAAACATGACACTCACCTGTTTCCAATTAACCTGTTCACTAGTGGACTGTTCCAAACAGGTGTTTTCTGAGCATTCCTCAACTTTCCCAGTCTTTTGTTTCTTCTGTCCCAGCTTTTTTGGAACTTGTTGCTGGCATCAAATTCAAAATGAGTGAATATTTCCAAAAAACAATTACATTTATCAGTTTGAACATTAAATGTCTTGCCTTTGAAGTGCACTCAACTGAATATAGGTCGAAAAGGATTTGCAAATCATTGTATTCTGTTTTTATTCACGTTTTACACAACGTCCAAACTTCATTGGAATTGGGGCATGTAAGTGAAAACAATTTCTATGACAAATACTGCAGTAACAGCACTAATGGTACATATGGGGCAGAACCTAATAGAGCAGAACCTAACAAATTGCTATTCAGTAATGGTTAAAGCACCACCAGTGGTCATTCTTGTCAGGCTAACATTAAGGCCAAGACAAGGTTAACTCAGGACAGCTGTGCTATACAAGAATAGTACCGTCCACTAAAAATACTCCAAAATGTTTGGTAAACCACAAACTCACAAATTTGCTTGTTAAGATGCGCTCAACTGTGACAGGGAAGAACAGAAAGAGTAAGCTCTATACAGTTACTCTGCAATATTAAGTCATTTTTTCAACAGAAATATGCTTCTTTGTAAAGTTGTATATTAAATTTATCACTTGACCAGGCACGGTGAATTTTGATGCTCAATTCAATTTTACAGGATAGGCGCAGCAATTTATCAGTGTTATTGAAGGATAAAAAATATTGTGCACTGTGGTCCTTGGAACCTGTTTTTTTCTGGGTGTAGGATTATTTGGAAGACAAGATTATCAATTAAATGACACGCCCTGCGCAGGATACTCACCAAGTAACATTTGAACTTCTTGGAAAGGATTTGGTTATCAGGTTGTACATTATTTTTGGTTTTTAAAGATCTTTGGACCAGCTATATAAGGTTTTTGTGCTATAATCAATAAGAGTTGACAACGTTCAATTGAGAACAGGAGTAAACAGCAAGTGCCAATACACCCAAAATCATTCTGTAAATTCCCAAAGGAATGCTATTCCTTACGGCTTCCCTCTTCAGAAGGACCCATCTCTATGCTGAAATCTCTGTGCTGCTCAGTGATATTGATTATATGTCCTAACAAAAGAGTAAAGAGACCAGAGGAGTAAATGGAATGTATCTCTCAGTGGGACAATCAATCAACAAATTAAGTGACTGTTTCTCAGGTGATTAAGGACAGGGAGGTTCAGGGAGATTGCAATGTCCATAAAGTTTATACTGATGGCAAAGTGCTAGACATATAGTTGGATTCTAAGTAAAAGGTACATGTATAAGACCTGAAATGACAAGACAAAAACAATGTTCCTCAATGTCAAATTGCAAAGGCTTTTGAAGGTCTCATCATCGACAGTGCATAACATCATCAAAAGATTCAGAGAAACTGGAAAAATCTCTGGGCATAAGGGACAAGGCCGAAGACCTTTACTGGATGCCCGTGATCTTTGGGCCCTCAGACACCACTGCATCACTCACTGGTATGATTCTGTCATTGACATTACTAAATAGGCCCAGGAATACTTCAAGAAACCACTGTCTGTAAACACAGTCTGCCATGCCATCCACAGATGCCACCTAAAACTGTATCATGCAAAAAGGAAGCCATTGTTGATCATGATCCAGAAGTGCCGCCGTGTTCTGTGGGCCAAGGCTCATTTTAAATGGACTGTAGCAAAGTGGCAAAGTGTCCTGTGGTTAGACGAGTCCAAATTTGACATTCTTTTTGGAAATCATGGGCGTGGTGTCCTCCGGGCTAAAGAGGAGAAAGACCACCCCTCCTGTTATCAGCATTCAGTTCAAATGCCAGCATCTCTGATGGTATGGGGATGCATTAGTGCATATGGTGTGGGACACTTGCATGTTTTAAAAAGCACCATGAATGCTGAAAGGTATATAAAGGTTTTAGAGCAACATTTGCTCCCCCCCAGGCGACATCTATTCTGAGGAAGGCCCTGTGTATTTCAGTTGGACAATGTAAAACCACATACTGCAGCTATAACAATAGCATGGCTTCGTAGTAGAAGAGTCCGTGTGCTGAATTGGCCTGCCTGCAGTCCTGATCTTTCACGGATTGAGAACATTTGGCGCATAATTAAACGAAAAGTCCATCAAAGGAGACCCAAAACTCTCCAGCAGCTGGAAGCCTGTATTAAACAAGAGTGGGATCAAATTCCAATGGCTAAACTCAAGAAACTTGTCTCCTCAATGCCCAGACGCTTCCACTCTGTGTTAAAAAGAAGAGGGGATGCTACACCATGGTAAACAGGCCCCTGTCCCAACTTTTTTGAGACCTGTAGCAGCCATCAAATTTGAATTGAGCTCATTTTGTGGATAAAATTGTAAAATTTCTCAGTTTCAACATTTGCTATGTTATCTCTGTTCTATTGTGAATAAAATACTGGCTGGTGTGATTTGAAAGTAATCGCGTTTTGATTTTATTCACAATTTAAACTTTGTCCCAACTATTTCGGAATTGGGGTTGTAAAAGGGAAAACAGGTGAGGATAATTAAGCTAGTGAAAAACAAATAACTGGTTTAGGTGCAGGGCTGGTAGACAGGGAAAGGGAATGCCTGAGGGGAGGGGCATTACACTATGCGTAAATCAATAGTAGATAGATGGCTATGAAGGACAGTAGAATTGCACAGAACATCAGACTATTTTTTTGCAAATCATACTAAATTTTTACCAATTGCTGAACATAGACTATTAGATATGTTAGCTTAATTCATACAATTCCTTGAAAACCCGCCCATATTCTAAATAGTTTTCCTGCACACTTTACTGGTGAATATTCAATATACACTGCCCGGTCATGATAAATGATTTATCTTGCAATTGGTTTTTGCTCTCATCTTGGTCTTGCATGCATTTTGAGACTGAAGTTGTTATACTCGAAAACAACATACTCAATGCCAGTGTCGGGCGGTGGACAGAGAACAAGGAGAGCGATAAACATGTCTTTAAACTGCTTATTAGTCTTGATCTGTTTTCAGTCAATTTCCCTGGTAAAAGACACTTGAACTCTCCCCTCTCAGGTGTAGCTAATTGTCTTTGTTAAGACGAGAAATCAAACACACCAGTTGAACGCAAAAAAGAGCGCATTTCAATCTTTTTCAATTAAACAATCATTACGCACAGGTTTGACGGCTTGCTTAAAAATGTGACAAAATTTAATGCGGAAAATCCACAGTGGTTTTTTTGTGAAGGGTTGCCAATTAAGGCATGTTAATTAAACATTTTATAGAATTTATTATGCACTCGACTAAACTTTTCATTTTAAGGGAAACTAACATGTTGACCAAGAACAATGATTGAAATCGGGCCATTAATCTCATCCGTTTCAAGGGATGTTTTCCGGCCCCCCCAGTTTTCCACCACCAGCCGCCACTGCTCAGTGCACTAGGTGATATACACCAGTGGCGGCAGGTGAACTGGCGATAGGAGAGGCTCAAAACAATCCCTTAAAATTAATGATTTGTCATTCATTTAAATGAATTTAAATTTAAATTCATTTAAATTACCATTACAGAAACTCTGATAACTCTCAACATTATCAGATGTGGCCAGTTTTCATTCATAACGCATACCGATTACGACTCCGGACTTCTCACGCTTTTCTTTATTCAGGGATTGCAAGCAATTCATGTGTTTCATGATCGTTTAAATGAAATAAGATCATTTGAAACGTCTTTATGCAATGCCATTGCTTCCAACCTCTCCAGTGCACAAGGACTTCAATTCCGCGCGAGAATCTCTTACATACGCGTTGATTGAATAATTGCTGACTACAGCAGAGGAACGTAAATATGCCACTTAAACTCACACCGAATGCGTGAGAGTTGACAGGTATGCGTTATAAATGAAAACTGGCCACACCTGATAATGTTGAGAGTTTTTGGAGTTTCTGTAACGGTAATTTAAATGAATGATTGAAAACAGGTTGATACCAATCATTAATTTTAAGGGATTGTTTTGAGCCTCCCCTATCGCCAGTTCACCAGCCACTACTGAATTTGTACACTGTGCATTTGCGAGTTTTCTCATAAGCAGCGATCATGAAACACATTCAAGAGTACAGCTCCAGAACTCTTGTTGCAGCTGCATGGCCAAATTTAGAGAACACGTGTCCTCTCACCAACTTCTCACTTTGGCACGCATCACATCAGTAATGGAGCACTCTCTTAAAAACTGCTAATCAAGTGAGAAACACATAGCTGTTTGTGCTTTGTTTGCTCTGTGCACACGCTGCTGCTACTGCTCCATATTTGCAATGCAAACCTGGTTGTTAACATTG